GGTGGTTTAATTTTTATGACTGCCATTTTCAACAGGCAGTGTTACATAATACACTGTTTTTCTTTCAAACTCTATTCTATCAAATATTTCATAATTAAAAACAGCCACTTGAGTTCCCTGGACTTCCTATTTAAGGAATTCTTAAGAGAGGAGGGTTCAATTCCCAGAGAGGGAAGATCCCCTGGAGTAGGAAATGGCAATCTGCTCTAGTATTCTTGCCTGACAAATTCCATGGACAGAGGAGCCTCATGGGCTATAGTCCACGGGGTGGCAAAGAATCAGACACAACTGAGCGTGCACGCGCACACACACACACACACAAGTAAATCCAGTTTCAATATTACTGCTTTGTAAGAAAATATGTACATGATAATTCTTATTCCACAAATAAAGATATAACAGTATTGATACGTGGAAATCTATGTTGCATTTCAATCATCCATAAATTAATTGTAAGATAATCTCAGTCCCCCGGAACAAAGTGGCAAGACTAGTTCCTGATCCCAAAGTAAGTTTTAAAAGCACACATTCTATGCCCTTAATCAGCACATGGGGCAGAAAAAAGATCTCACCTAAGCAATGTATATGTAAACACTGACTTTTACATTAGAGTCAGTAAAATGCACTGAGAGCAAAAAAACAAGAATTATCTAACAAAGGTAAAACAAAACAAACAAAAAAATGTCATCATAAGTAGCACCATGACATAAAAGTTCATCACTCTAGGACAATTTAGGAGAACAGGCATATACAGCATAACGATCTCTGCAGAAATCACATAAATTCTATGAAGTGACTGCTGTTCACAATAACTTTGAGCCATCAAAACAAAACCAAAACAAGTTAGATTACACTCAGTTTGTCTTGTTTAAGAAAACAAAGGGTACATTTTATATTTCAAAAACATTTTAGAAAAAATATTCCTATGAAATAAACTTTGGCACATAAAAGGGTAAGATTCAATTATTCACAAATTAACTGATGAATAATACTATACCACTTGTAAATAAGAGCCCAGTGAATGAGGAAATACGTAAGTAAAATTCTCACTCAAAGTGATAATATACTATAGCTGCCTTTCAGAAGATGAACTGTGATAAGGCACAATAACATTTCAGGGGCCTTTATAGATACAATTCCCTGTGCAAGGCCAGGTCTTGGTTAAGAGTCAAAAGAGTATCTGATAATTCCTAAAAGCTAGTCATGCAAATTTTCCACTTCAATGACTGGACACACTCAAGAAAATATCCTGATTTAGCTTTTCACTTTGTTTTCTTTAAATTGTGACTGCCAAGTAGACAGGCTGGTCTGGTTTCTAGCTCCAACCTACTAAATAACCTTGCATAATTCACTCAACCTCTCTAGTTCTCCACAGTTTCTTCATCAGTAAAGTGAAATTATATAAAACATGATATGATAGTAAATGGAATCATGTCAATAAAGTAAACAAAGAGTTACTACATTAGGTCCTGTATCTGTATCTGTATGTATATTATTTTTAAACTGTCACAAGTTACATGGAATTCTACCATATATTTAAGGCCTACAGTAAAGAAATTATGATTGATTCAGAATCTTTTTCAGTATTTAATATGTGTTACTCTCAGGATATAACAACTTTCTCATGTACTCATTTGAATTTATTTAAAATACCACTATAATCATCTATCTTTAACCCGAAAATGTAGGGCTTTTTCCACATGACACATAAAAATCAACATGTGATATGTAAAACAATGTTCATGGCAATGTTAATTAAAACAGTCAAATACCAGAAAGAACCCAAACATCCACCGACAGCAAAATAAATAAATTCTGCCATATTCATTCCAAAGGAATAACACATGATAATTAAAATGAACAAAATAAAACTACATGCAACTATGTACATGATCTTCAAAACACAATGCTAGGTAATGGAAGAAAGAATGCATATGATCCCAGACAACGGCACTCACCAGTAGGTCCACCTGTGTCCCATGCTACCCCACAAAGGCACCCCAGAGCGGCACCCCACAGCTGCAGCAGTATTACACCATAGAAGTCTAGCACCAACCCAAAGAGAAGCACAAAGGTGATCACGGTTTCCAAGCACAAATCAAGATCCAATCTGAATTCTGAGACTGGTTGTAGGGCCTGGGGGTGCTCACCAGCTCCACCACATCTTTCTGGGTCTGTGATCACAGTTACCACCCCTACCAGCACGACTAAACCCAGCACTGGAGACCCTGTGGTTAACACTGGTGACAGAGGAGGGTAGGACCTCTGTGGACTGTGAGGACTTCTTCCAATTGTTGGAAGAAGGTACACGCTTAATGATCCTAGAGTTCAGGCAAATTTAGAGTCCCAGCAGGAGTAGGCGCTGTCATGCAGCCTGGCCGGGGGAGAAGCCCCAGCGCAGCAAGGACACTGCCCTCGTTACCTGGTTCATATACACACAAACTCTTGAAACCTCTTAGGCCTGAACATCTGCGCCACATTTTACAGGATCTACTCCATGAGCTGTGACTTTCAAGTACTTGGTCCAAAGAAAGTACTCAGAGAGCTCATCCAGTTGAACCTCCGTGATGCTGCTGCAAGGCCTGGGTCACACGTTGCTGGGAATTTCCTCCACCCTTTGCCATGCCATGGAGGGGGCTGAAAGGTGACAGTGACAGCAGCAGGGTCGCCTCCATCCCTACTGAGAAGGGGCTCTGAGCTTCTGCCCCAGACCCGTTCCAAGAGATACCCTGTGAGGATTGCAACAACATCAGGTTTGGAGACCTGCAGGCAGTGCAGACTAGACAACTCACCTGATTTTCCTTACTATTGTTGGCAGCATTATGATAGGCTCTATTAGCATAATGCTTTCCATGCCTCATTCAAATACATTCCTCAAGAATGCTGTCTGTAAAGTAATTAGACTCCAACTAATAAAAATAAAGGGAAAAAAAATAAAAGAATGCTGTCCTTTCTTAGCCGACTTATTGGCCTTTCACTTCTCTTGAAAGACAGGCTTGTTCCTAGACATCCTGATCCCAATCTGACTGCTGCTACTTCTAAATTCCCTACAACTCCTCCTTCCCCTAAGCTCTTCAGTACAGCGAAGCCAGCCCTCTCTGGCTTGACCTTACAATCTGTTTCTTCATACCCTTCACTTTGAAGATAACAAAAACATTTCCAACAAAAATACAAAAATGTTTATCTAAAAAAAAGAATACATATGAACCCCAAAAGATCAAAACGAGACAAAAAGTGAACATACTGCTGAGGAATACACATAAAAGTGATAAAATTATATAGAGAATTATCTAATTATTAGGAAAGTGTTTACCTTAAAAGGAAGATTATACTAAGGGCTTCTGGGATGTCAGTAGTGATCTATGGTTACTGAATATCTGCTTTATATTTATTCATTTTACTATACATTTATGTTTCTATATAGTTATATTTTATAATAAAAAGGTTTAAAATTATATACTTTCTGAAATAATACAGTATTAAAGGGAAGAAAGGGCACCTCTTCTTTTTTTACTAACAACCTTGTATTTTCTTGGCTTACATTTCAAATTTTTATTGCAATATTTTAAGAATAAATAAGTTATTATGCTTAATTCTCCAGAATCCTAATTAAGAATAGATTTCACAGGCTTTCCAAATGGCCACACACACAAAAAGAAACCAGACCATTAAAGAGTGTACGATTGATTATCCTGCTACATCTTTGCTGAGCTCTATGTTGTATCTGTCACATTTTCTTCTCTTCAAGAAAATGTATGCTTACTTAAAAAAAAAATCTATGTTACATCCAATTTATCCATTGGATAAATCTACGTTTATCCAATCTACGTTGCATAAAATCTACATTATACTTTATGCAAACTACACTCTAAAAAGTATATAATAATTTAGCTCAAAAGTAGGAAGACAAATATTTTCAACTCTCACAAGTTTAAAAACAATTTTAAGAATATCTATGTTTGCATTCACTGTGAGGGTTTGTTATAGGACAGACACAGATATGATACTTCAGGTCCAATCCAATGTCACTCTATGTGAGAATGGGTCACTGTGTGTACTAGAAAATATAATAGTTAGATTACAGGATGGATATACAAAACAAGGTACACTTGAAGTTTACTGCATAAAATTTAATTAAGGGTGAAATAAAAGTTGCTCATTTGTGTCCGACTCTTTGCAACCCCTTAGACTATATATTCCATGGAATTCTCCAGGCCAGAATACTGGAATAGGGAGCCACTCCCTTCTACAGGGGGTCTTCCCAACCCAGGATCAAACCCAGATCTCCCACATTGCAGGGAGATTCTTTACCAGCTGAGCCACCAAGGAAGCCCAAGAATACTGGAGTGGGTAGCCTATCCTTTCTCCAGCAGATCTTCCCAACCCAGGAACCAAACCAGGGTCTCCTGCATTACAGGTGGATTAAGGGTATTCACACAAAATAGATCCAATAGTGTCTAATTTAAATTATATTGAAGCTGTTTTAAATACTACATTTGGAAAAACAAATACACAGGGCATTTAAATGATTATATGATTACAAAAGAGATAATACTAATAATAAACTAACAAACTGCAAAAACATGCATATGAATATAATCTAGGAAATCGTAAAAGTTCCATCAACTACAAACATCCTTTAACATATGCTTGATACAACTTTCAGATGCCACTATCCAGGAAGCACACATAATAAAATTTAGAAACAAGACTGTAAGCACTTTCATTAGGCTCCAGATATCAATACAATGGCAACAGTATCACCCAAAATGAAAACAGAGTTGCTTTGGTTATATATTGTTGTTTTTTTGGTGTGTAAATGCACTCAAGGATTTCCCACCAGACTGGGTCCAGCTAATCAGTTATGTGCCCATCTATTAAGGGCCAACTTTAAAAAGTTACACTATGTCCAGCAGGGAGCAGTATTACAACATCCATAAGACTTAATGACAACATGAAATGGACAGAAGAAAATGAAGGGGGAAAAAAAACCCACTTACCATATGTCTTTACAACAATACACTGAATTTTTGCAGTATTTACAGGGCTTCCAGAAAAAAACATCTAAAGCATGTCTCAAAGCAAACATAGGTGATCCATAGTACCAGGATTCCTAAAACAGGAAATCAAAATTATATTAGGCAAAGGTTTCTTTCAGCCATATTTAGTTGAATTAGTACATAATATGACTAAATGTCTCTCAGTTACTAAAGTGCCATCTTCCTTAGTGGATCAATGGGATTTGGAAGTCAGATATTCAATGACACTTCGGGTCAAGTGATTTTAAAAAGCAGAATATTATTTTATTTACCAGAGAATTTAAGTAGAAGAAGGTCAGTGGATGAAATAATATGTCAATCGACCCAGAGAAAACTGTGGTCAAGGACTTAACAGGAGTTGTTAAACCAACCATATACAGTGTTGATATATCAAGCCCTTCTAAACAATTTGCAGGTTATAGACAGGATATGACATTCATTTCTGCATGTCAGCATGAATGAATATCTAGGGTTAATTTTAAGAATAAAAAGGCAACAGAGAAGTAGCTTGTAATGCTGGTATGTTAAGATTGATTAGCCAGATATTTAATGATTACGAGGCATGCACATGATACTGTAAAAAAATTCTATGACCAGTCACAATATGTCAAAGGCAAAACATATTATGTTTAAAATTCTAGATGTCAAAACCTGCCTCATATTCAATGATAACTCCACGTCAGTTCTTATGACTGAGGAAATAATGTATCACCGCTTTCTTTTTTTGGGGGGGCCACACCATGCAGCATGCAGGATCTTAGTTCCCAGACCAGAGACTAAACCTGTGGCCCCTGCATTGAAAGTGTGGACTCTTAACCACTGAACCACCAGGGAATCCTAATGTATCACCACTTTTACCTGAAACGTTAAATAGTTTGCCTTATGTGTGTTTACAGGCAAAATTTCATTGTTTACACTAAAAACCAAATTTTTGCCATTAGAAAAAGATAACATATGAATATTTACCTTGAAATAGATATATAATAAAGTAATTTATGTAATATAAATAACATTTACTTGAAATGTAATAAATAATTCTACTATTTTCTTCAGAGAAAATGACATGAGAGAAAATGACTTGATGGCTGGTAGAAACAAAGATATTAAGGAGATTCTGGTGAATGTGCAGAAAGAAGTAAATAGGATAAGATTCTCCATCATCTTAGAGAATACATGTGTCAGGAACAGAATGATCCAGAAATAGGAACACTGAAGGGGCTTCTGGTGAAGTCTCAAAAATGGAATGAGACATTATTGAACAGGACAGCAAAGGCAGTCTTTGTTACAGTGTAGCAAAACTGAAATGTATTCTAATATTGTGTGAAAAGGAGAACATATAAGTGATAAACCTGGATGTCTAGTTGAGATTTCCAAGCAAAACATTGAAGGCGTGTACTTTCTCCTTGCTGCTTATGGTAAAATGTGAAAAAGAGGATAATAAACTGGGGAAGGATAAAGAAGAAAAGGAGTTAAACTGAGGAAGTTAAGCAAAAAGAAATCATTACTTGGTGATTTAGAAAATTTTTAGCATGTCTAGATTGCAAAAAAGGTTAACATCACAAATTATCAGGAAAATGCAAATCAAAAACACAAATGAGATACAACTTCAAACTCATTAGAATGGCTATCACCCAATAAAGAACCAAAGTTGCCAGGACATAAGAGAAATTGGAACCTCTGTGTATTGCTAGAAGGAATGCAAAACAGTTAAGTCACTGTGGAAAACACACTGGCAGTTCTTCACAAAGTTAAACATATAATTTAGCAATTCTACTCCTAGGTATACACCTAAACAAACTCTAACAGATACTCAAACTCCAACATTCATTACATTATCCACAATAGGCAAAAAGATGGAAACAGGACACGTGCCTGACAACAGCTGTATGGATAAACAAAATGTGCTATATACACACAATTAAATATTATACAGCCATAAAAGGAGTGAAGTGCTGATACATAAGATGGACGAACTTTGAAAAACATTGCTAAGTGAAAAACATTATGTAAATGTTAACAAAGAACAAATATTACATGATTCCTTATGTGAGGTATGTAGAGAGGCAAACTCACAGAGACGGGAAATAATATAAAGCTACCAGAGACTGCAGTGATGGAGTGGGAAGTTACTGCTCAATGAGTAAAGTGCTTTCACTTGGGATAATGAAAAGGTTCTGCAAAAAGATAGTGACAGTGTTTACACATCATAAATATAGCTAATGCCACTGAACTGCACACTTTAAAAAATGGTTATAATAATAAGTCTTGTATTATGTATATTTTGGGGCTTCCTTGGTGGCTCAGATGGTAAAGAATCCACCTGCAATGAGGGAGACCCAGGTTTGATCCCTGGGTTGGGAAGATCCCCTGGAGGAGGGCATGGCAACCTACTTCAGTTATTCTTGCCTGGAGAATCCCCATGGACAGAGGAGCCTGGCAGGCTACTGTCCACGGGGTTGCAGAATGTTGGACACAACTGAGCAACTATGCACACATGCATACTTTTACCACAAAAAGCTGTTCTCCTATCAAAAAAGGGACCAAGATCTTGAGTCAGCTGAGAAGGTTAACATAATGACTTCAATTAGAGAATTAAGACCAGGCTGCTGATAAGCTGTAAGCTGAACAATTCTAAAGTTCAGTGAGGGAAAATGATCATCATATATGATAGTAATTCATTAATTCCATATGAGTTTATTTAGGAAATGTTAATAGAAAAAGGAGCCTGGTGTGCTGCAGTCCACGGGTTCACAAACAGTTGGACACAACTTAGCAACTTAACAAAATAAAACAAAATATAAAAAGGAAGCAAGGTTTGCTCTTCAAATTTTTTAAAAATAATCTTAGAATATCAAACAGACTACAAAATTAATTTCAAATCTTTCATTCTAGAGAATGATAAAACTGTAATACAACACAGACTTTACCTTGTTTTTAACCTTCCATTTTGGGGAATGAAAAAATACAAAGGTAAGAACATGCCCTTAAATTCCAAAAGATTTTTAAAAGTATTTTTTAATGATTAAAAATCTTTATCAGTGCTGGACAACTCTGGTAGAAAGTTCTTTAATCTGAGTTGAAAATGAAATTTCTCTGCTCTGGAGAAACAAAGGGGTCTAATTTCTCTTTCAGAAGATTAAGATAGGTCTTCTGAAACTCAAAATCATTCATCTCTGAGTTAAATATGTCCCACTTACTATCTGTTGTTTCATATCACAGTCTCTAACCATACTGCTATCTCTGAATTTACTCATTTTAGCAGGACAAATATGCCTCATTGCTTAGGCAAATATTCAACCATAAATTGGCCAAATAAAGGGCTAATTCAGAAGGATATGAATGCTTAGTTTGGGCCCAGGTACAAACAGTAAATAAAAGCCTGAATTTTGTCATGAGACAGTTCATCACTGTTGTGAAACCGAGCTCTGTCATTTACCAGCTATGTGACACTGATGGTTAATTTTATGTGTCAACTTGACTGGGCCATGCAACGTCAAGATATTTCCATTCAGTTCAGTTCAATTCAGTCGTTCAGTCGTGTCTGACTCTTTGCAACCCCATAGACTGCAGCATACCAGGCCTCCCTGTCCATCACCAACTCCAGGAGTTTGCTCAAACTCATGTCCATCAACTCGAGTAATGCCATCCAACCATCTCATCCTCTGTGTCCCCTTCTCCCTCTGCCTTCAATCTTTCCCAGCATCAGGGTCTTTTCCAATGAGTCAGTTCTTTGCATCAGGTGGTCAAAATATTTGATCAAACATTATTCTGGGTGTTACCGTGAGGGTGTATTTGGATGACATTAACATTTGAATCCTCAGACTAAGTAGACTGTCCTCCCTAATGTGGGCAGACGTCATCCAATTCATTGAAGGTCTGAGTAGAATGAAAGGCTGAGCCCTAGACCACTAAGAGGGAGTGAAAAGCATCAACATATTAGAGATTCTAAAAACTTTCTAAAAGAGTGTAATAGTGATAGGTAGAACACGACAAAAAGAGCAACAGTCTAGCATAGTGTTTAGTAAACTACAGTTCACAGGGCAAATCTTCCAGGCTACCCCCTGCTGTTGTATACCCTGCAAACTAAGACTGGCTTTTATACTTTCAAATGGCTCAAACAAAAGAAGAATATTTTGCAACATGTTAAAACTATATGAAATTCAAATTTTAATTTTCATAAGCAAAGCATTAAGACATAGCTGTACTCATTTTTTAACATAAAATAGCATTTTCATGGTAGTGTTAAAAAGGGGTGAAAGATGACATGTGGCCTACAAAATCTAAAATACTTACTATTTGGTTTCCTAAAAAGCATGCTGACGCCTGGCCAACCACACACAGGATGGTCAGGGAAGACAGAACTTTTCTCCCTGTGGCAAGGGCTGAGTCAATACTTAAGGAGGATAAAAATGCTTTAGCCTGCCTGGGACGAAGTTAGGTGAATGAAAGTATGGTGGTTGAAAATCTAGGATAGGAGCCTCCTTATCAGGCTATTAGAAAAAGGCCTGTCCTATCTGTTTGTTCTCTGCTTATCCACCTGATCAAAACACATCAATAAGTCCTACCTATAAAAGCAACCTACAGATTTAGTGCAATCCCTATCAAAACACTATGATATTTTTCACAAAACTGGGACAAGGAACTCCATAATTTATATAGAACCACAAAAGACCCTAAACAGCCACAGCAACCTCAACAAAAAAAGATCAGATGAAGGTATCACACTCACTGACTTCAGACTATACTACACAGCTACAGTAATCAAAACAGTACAGTACCAGCACAAAAACAGATCTATCTATCAATGGAACATAACAGAGCCCAGAAATAAACCTACATATCTATGGCTAACTAATCTATAACAAAGGAGGTAAGAACATACAATGGAGGAAAAAACAGTCTCTAGAGAATGACGCTGGGAAAACAGGAACAGCTACATGCAAAAGAATGAAATCAGAACATTTTCCCATACTGTATACAAAAATAAAGTAAACTAAAGACCTAAATCTAAGGCCAGAAACCACAAAACTCCTAGAAGAAAACAGCAATACACTGACATAAATTGCAGCAATAT